CCTCCTCCTCCTCCTCCTCCTTTCCTCCCTCGTTGTTTTCCTCCAACCCCCATTCTAAGACTCTTAACAATATCCAGGTGACAGCGGCTCAGTGAGCTGCAACTGTGTGTTTGTGTGTGTGTGTGTGTGCACGCCAGCCTGTGTTTGCCTCTTTTGGCGGGCCGACCTGCAGTAGGTGGAATGTAAGTTTTCAGTTTCAGGTCTGGCTGTGGTTCTGAAGAGAACGACAGAGTGTGAGGATTTGAATGTTTATCTTTTATGTGATTAACAAGTTCCCTGACATTTACACAAGTGTCAGATTTATGGACAGAATTGTCCATAAAGTGCTTGAAAACATACAAACTGAACCTAAGAATATAATTTTAACAAATTACAAATAATTCAAAGGTCAACGAGTTCAATCTTACCAACATTTTAAAAAGATAATTTCATCAAACCTAAAGCAAATACTAGCTTTTAGCCTTTAGTTAAATGCCAAAAATCAAAGCAATAAAGTTAAAATTACTTTCCAAAGTTAACTGATTTCTTAATATGGCAAATAATGCTACATTCTACTATTTGATGTCAAAAATTAAGAAATGTATTTTTTTTTAAAAAGCCTAAAATTGACTCCACATCTTGTTAAAGCAACAACAGACAGTGATGCTGAAGTAAAGTTTGAAAAAACATCTTGAAGATGACCTTGAAAGGTGCTTGGATTTAACCTGGAGCGCGGAGGTTGAGCCCTGACCACATGGTTAATATTAGTGGTCATGAGTGAGACCTGAACACGTGTATTTTTGAACTAATGACAGCACATGTGTCTTGTGTATACACAGGGTTCAGGCCTGGAAACGTGAACTCCATCAGGGGACTGGAGGGTCTGAGGCCGGGGCCTTATCCCTGTCTGGTCCGGTCCAGTCCAGTCCGGTCCAGTCCAGTCCGGTCCAGTCCAGTCTGGTCCAGTCTGGTCCAGTCCAGTCCAGTCCATTATAATTAGGTTTAGTCAAGAGTGAATATATTCGTCTCCTGCAGGAGTTACAACACACACTGGGAATGTGAGCGTACCTCAGAGCAGCACCGAGGTTTCAGCCCCATTACCTGTGTCTAATTTACATGAAAGCACGTTGTGTTATTTCAACCTCAGCCTGGGCTTTAAACCTGAAACTTCACTTTACTTCACACTGCACAGGACAGACGAGGGAGACATTTGGACGCAGCTAAGGACAGGACAATAATAATGTAGTGTGTAGTGTTCGTCTGATGCCGTCAGTTCTTCGTCCACTTTGTTGTAACTTTGTTGTAACTTTGTTGTCACTGTTCCTTCAGTCTCTGTTTGTTACTGTTTTGTTGCTTTTTGAAAAGCTGGAATTTCAAGCCTTTACTCTGACTCTTATTTTCAACAGATAAACAAAGAAGCTGGAATCATCACACGCCGACATTATTTCTCCATTCCTTACAAAGCTTTTCATCCTTTCAGACATTTTTCTCAAACATATCTAAGGCCACTTATGGAATGAACTGAATATTTACAGCATCACCTCTTCTCACTGTACTAATAAGAAACAGACACAACCAAAAAAAAAAAGAAACACGCTAGAGTTGGAGACGCCTTTGCTGCTCCACTGATGTATAGAAATAAAGTGATTAGACTAGATTAGATCCAGTCAGTGTAGATAGTAAAGATAAGACCTTTTTTGGCATCAGTTTATTGTTTTTAAAATATTTCTGTGCCAGAGAGATCATTTGTGATAGAAATGTTGCCAAAGCTTTAAATATAACGCAGGTAAACTCCAGCCTGATGAAGACTCCAGTGGAAAAACATCCAGACTGGGGTCGTTGAGAATCAGGAGAACATTCCAGGATAAAGAGAGTGGGAATATTTAACCCCCCCCCCCCATCCTGCCTCACTGAGACCCCTGCCCTACATTTAACTGCAAAGTAGACTTCTCCACTCCTATTTATTTTAATGGATAGCACACAACCCTCTGCTATGTGACAGAGAGACAGAGAGAGACAGAGGGAGAGAGAGAATGATGCCACACTAGAATGTAATCACTCTCACTTCACCACAGCCATCAATTACAGTCTAAAGCTGCAGCTGTTTTGACTATTTGAGTAACACACACACACACACACACGGAGCCACAGTTGGTGTCATCAATGTAGAGGCAGAAATAGATGCTTTGTTGACAGTGTGGGGTCAGAACAACCTCTGAGAAGATGGTTCTGCACTAGGGCGCCCCCTTCAGGTACCAAACAGATACATAAAAGATATTAAAAAATGCCTTGAGGTCAGATCATTTTGGAACCCTTTGGTTCCAGGAAGCAAAAAATGATGCTACTCTCGCCATCACCTTTTCTAGTTTGGGTCGTTAAGGTCAGAATCGAGGGTTAAAAATCCTTTATAGAATGTACTAACAATATATCTGGATATTTAATTTATACTTGAATACTTAGTAGCTAACAGGCTACTGCTTATTTATTAAACCAAGCTAACTCAACACACGAGCTCTGACTGAAATCAAGCCACATTTTTTTAAATATTGTGAAGACTCTGGATATCTGACACACACGGAAGAGTGAGGAAGAGTGAGGAAGAGTGGGAACAGCTCTTTAATAACTGGTCCCTGCCCCACAGTAGCTGCCTGACCAGGCTAAAAAATGTTTTTGTTTCCACGTCTTTTATCACGGCGCGTGGGAGAAACAAGTCCACTGTCACAGTCAGCACTGTGGAGTCATTATCTGATGCTCCACTAGGTCAACAAGGATGTGACCAGCGCTGAATCATCAAAACGCACGGCACGCCTGAACTCACTCCTTCGTATCGGAGTCATTAGATTGTGGTGCGCAAAGTTTTGACAAAGTAAAAACAGGGGCCGCTGAGGTCATCAAATGACAGAGATCGTCATTTGTGGTCGCTGACATGGGAGGGAGAGAGAGAGAGAGGAGAGAGAGGCAGCTGCGTTGAACAGGCCGATCTAAACAATGCTGCTATCTTTAGACGACCGGTCAACAACTGGTCACTTACTCACAGCAGTTCATTAAATCAATACCAAACATATTTGATGGACAAATGGTGGAGAGATGAAACACGGTGACTGAGAATCAGCTCCAGGTTTCTGTCTCTTCCATGCACAAGTGGATTTATTCAACTTTTCCTGGCTTAGAAACGACCGTCTCCGTCATGGTTTGACTTCCACAGAGATCTGGATTAAAGCTGACATTCTTTAATCTCCTCAGTCTTCTGGGTGGTTACATCAAAAGGTCTGTGAACTGACCGTGAATCAGTCATGATGAAGCCCTCATGTCACAAACAAAACACGCAGTTCATCCTCATTTCTGCCATTTAGAACTTCATTGTTCCTTTCCTTCCAGACTTTGTGTGTATGTGAATACGGGAAACAGTCTGTAAATCTATGCAGAGGAAACCAAGTTAGATTAGAACCAAATGATGGCAGGTTTTCATGTTTTACAAGAACTTGGTTTCAGTCCTTGGACGAGGCAAAGAAGCAGGTTGTGTCCTGGTGTGAAAAACATCCCTCGGAATTCTACAAATAAAGAATTCTCTGCTGGAAACGTTAGTCTTAAAAACGCTAGTCTTTCTGTCAAACACTGCACATTCATCTATCAGAAACCATTTCTTATGCAGCTTTTATTTTTGCCCAGCTTGAACCAAAGGTGGTCCACAGACATCAACAGACATCAACCCCTGCCCTGGCTGAGGGAGTTCATCCAGTTCAGGTCAAATCTGAAAGGTTTACTTTACAAAAGGAAAATTTAGCAACACAACGTAAACGTGACTGACACAGGAGGCAGAAACAGTGACCTTAGAGGCCAGGAATAGGAATATCCAGGAATAGCTGCTGCTGGAGAATGAGCTCAGAGAGTTGTGCGGCGTTTTTGCTCCACATCACACGAACAGCAGTAAATCACATGATTACAAGCCATTGTTCTAAATGACAAAGGACACGAAAAGACGAAATCACACGGCAGACAGTCGTTCAGCATCTGGGTGTCGTTACACCCTCTGTCATTTGATGCAAGACGTCAAGATCAACTGCTGCCGCTTTTTCATTTTGGTCAAACACCACCGCGTGTCACCGGTGCCCCCCCCCAGCCTCCCCCGCCTCCTCCACCATGTAACTGCCAGGTAATCAGATAAAATCTATAACATCAGGGAAACCTCCCTGATGTTATAGTCTGTCCCTGCTTTTCATGATGCTTCAGTGAAAGGTTGCAGGTTTGAGTCCCTGAAAGCTCAAGCTGAGCTGCCCTCTCTGCTCTCTTTGGTGAAGGGTTAAAGGCAGAGGACACGTTCCGTCCAGTGGTGTGCTCTGCATCAGTGACAATAACTCACATTCACTTTCACAAACCCTGAAAGTGACTCAACCCTCAGTTCATAAACACTGCTCAAAGTGAAACCTTCTCGACACCAGTTCTCCAGATGCTGAACTGCACCTTTTACACAGACAGACCAACGGGGACAGTCATCACCTCTAACACTGGAGCGGTTCTTCAGCCTCTCAGACAAAAAGAACCTCAGGTTATAACAGTCAACCGACGTTTAGTGGTCAAACCTGGAGCGAGATAATGACACTGAGGTCAGGGTGAGTCTGAGTCGGTCATCAGTCTTATCACTGTGTATACACACAGTGTACATACACCGGTATATTACCCATAAGTCTTTGTTTAGTCTGCTACGACGTGATCAGACTAAGGTGGGGTTATTCTTTGTGATACCACCACACTTGAGACTTCAGTTATTCTTACTCTAAAAAAAAAAATACACGTACTGTAAACCTGGAGGTAAGTGTTGAGATCAACTACTGTAAATATTTGCCACAGCCAATAGGCTGCAGACGTTCAGAGGGTCCTTCGAAAAGTCTTATCAATGCAAACCCTCAACAGCACTCCACAACTGTCTATTATTGGAACGGCTTTAAAATGAGCCCAGACTGCCTTCACTGAGCAGCTGTTTCTGATCAGATGAGAGGAGGAAGAGGAGAGGGACGAGAGGGAGAACACGCCCCCGTCTCACCCCTCCTGATATGACAGGACATACAGGAGCATTGATTAATACGCTGTTCTGGGTAGACCTGGGTATCTGTGTGTCAGTGTTTCCCATTGCATCCCATCTCCTCTCTGCTGTTGCCCTCCCCCGTTGCCCCTCCACCCCCCGTCACCTCACCTCCGCCCTGCTCTTAAAACAGCTTGAGACACAGCAGAAGCAGATGCTCGTCCTCAGGGTTCCAGAGTGAAGCGAGGACAGAGCGCGGCAGTGTCAGAGACGCCGAGGCTGCCAGAGACACTACAGCGGCAGACTCTCAAATAAACACCTGCTGCAGGCAGGACTTCACACACCCTGCCGTCTGGTCTCTCACAGCTGGGACCAGATCACTACGGTGAGTGAAGGGCGATTTAAACATCGAGTCTCTCCCAGAAACCACATCGCAGTATATATCCTATGTACAAGTGCCAGGAAGTACACAACTCAGCCAGCGCTGACTTAAAGGTTAAACACACGTAAATCTGTCTGACTAAAAACAGCACTGGTTTTTGCCTGTTACTAACACTTTTAGTTAGCTTGTGAGGCTAATCCTGGAGCTAACAAACTGGTTGTTGCAGGGATAGTTTAAAAAACAAAAAGTGTCCTTGTTGCCCTAAATGAACAGGGTGACTACACTGTGATCCATTCAGACCCACATGTGGACAACGTACTGTAAGGTTGTGTGTTTTTCCCGTTAACAACATCCCAATCTGTAAAAGTGCTCACTAAACAGCCTCCAGGCCACAAGGGAACGTTCTCCTGGTCTCAGCTGAGTAGATCCGCCCCCCCATCCCTCCAGGCTATTTTTATTTCAACTGTACAATAAATCTCTTTAGTATCAAATAAAATCCTCTGAAGGGAGGTCGAGTGTGTCTTAAAGAGATAAAGTAAATTTAATTTAATCTGCAGCTGACTTTTTTTTTTTCTTTCCACCCTGCGTTGCTTCAGGAGGTTTGGGTGCAGAGTTGACATTAGACAGACGCTCCCTAAAACGTACACCGACAGGCAGATCAACACCTGACATGAATGAATCCAAACACAGAGCAGAGCACCTTCAAGAACAGATTTTAGACAGAAGGTGAGAAGGGAACGAGGTGGGGAAAAAGAGAGAGAGTTTTGACTTTATATACAGACCATATATAAGAAACGGACAATCTCATTATAACAGACTCTTTTATCCAGCCCGCATCCGGGGTAAAGATAGTCACACATACCTGTCAGATCTGCAGCGACTCCTCACGTCAACTAAAAGTAGTAAAAAGGGAACTGGCCCCAGTGTGGGTCATTTTTGTTGACCTCACGGTGACACTTTGCCAAGAGTAGTGAATATTTTCCAGAAAAAAAACCCACATTTAGTTAAAGATAATGGGGCCATATTTGCAGTTTTACATGTGGACCACATTAGGCCCACATCCATCCTTCTGGGCCAGTTAGAAGTCATTATGACTGGGCATTATCGCCAGAAATGGCCCACACGATCATGCTGTCTGGGTAGATCACATTTTTATCCTTCAAGTTCACTGATGACTTTGACATACATATACATATATATATATATATATAGCAGAGTAGAGTAGGACTAAATATGAAAGACTTGGAGAGAGAGGGAGCAAGAAACAGTTTCATGAAAACAAACTTTGAATCAAGTCCAGTTTGACTGAATCTTTTTGGCTCCAGGAAGTTATTAAAGACGGTCCAAAAAAACAGTCCTGCATAATTCAATAGTAGCGAGGTGCACATTTGGATACCTACAGCTATGCTAGCTCAGGACTTCATGCTAAGCTAAAGTAAAATAAACCTCTTCTGGCTCCGACTTCAGTCAAAGTGAGCTTGACCTTTTCATCTGTCTCTACAACAAAAGCATATCCTCCCATAAAGCAGAAAGTACTTTAGGTTTTAGTAGCAGTAAACGATAAAAATCCTGGTTTATTTAGAGTGACTGTTGTTTTACAACGCTGGTTTCTGCATACAGAAACTACAGAGAGTGAAGAGCGCACACACGGGATAAAAGGAACCAGAACTTAAGTGGATTTTTTTTTAGGTGGAAGACCACCCATCTTTTTGATTCTATTCTTATTCCTATTCTATGTTTCACAGCTAAACATTTCAACTCAAGCGACCAAAGAAGAAATTCATCAAACAGGAACATTCCTCCAAATATGGATGTTTCACAGCTAAACATTTCAACTCAAACAACCAAAGAAGAAATTCATCAAAGAGGAACATTCCTCCAAATATGGAAACAACTACAGCAACTAAAAATCCAACAAAGAGGAAATCGAACTTGACCTTTAAATCCGCTTTTTCACTTTAGGTATTCAAACTTAGCAGTGTTTTTTTTTTTAGCTGGACAACAAACAAACAAAAAAAATCCTTATTTTTTTGGCTAAACACAATACATTTGGTGCTGATGCAACACATTCTGGATGAAAGTTTGCTTCCATCAGCAACTCACCAGAGTCTTGGACTGCGTTAAAGCAGCATCCAGAAAAAGTCCGTCTGGGTTTTTGCTATGCACAGCTTTATCCATGCAGAGCCACAGAGGCCTGGATCTGCCGCGGCCTCGCTAAACAAACACTGGTCTGGCTCGGCTCAAGCTGACGGACGTCATTATGCACATCGATTAAAAACAAACATACTGGCAGAGAGAAACGTCCAGCTTTTCAGTGTGGGCCCGAGGTGGAAAACATCATGAGGATTGGGCTCAGGACAGAACAGATTTTTTTTTGGTTGATCTTTTTTTCTCAGCGGTGCCCCCTCTAGGATACCAACCTAGGAAAACGCTCTGAGGTGAAATGTCAGCTGAAGGTTCAACTTTGTTCATCAATGACTTTATATAGAAAGTGAAAGAGCAGAATGGGGATTAACCAAGCTCACCCAACCAGCTTTACTGTATACTGTAATTAGTGGAGAGAAGCCAAGATCCAAACACAGCCTGTCACCTCAGCCTGCATGAAATCCTACAGTGGACACACATGTATGAAGCTGCCTCTCTCACTAAAACAGATGTGCAATTGATTAATTTCTTCAAAAGCTCATTAGGTTTTTTCAGTAACCTTTTCTGCTTTGTAAAATTATTTAAGTTTTTCTTTTTTTTTTTCTTTTACCTATGGCTTATGTTTGGTCGTATGTTTGCATACAGCTATTCTGGTGAATTATTTTTCTTTCTTTCCTAATTTTCCATTAACTTTCAGTTATCACCGTGGCTAGCTCTTGCTAGTTGCTGAATAGCTGACAAAAAAGTTAGTACATCACATTACTCACAGAAGAAGTTAAGCTTGAACTGACCAATGACAGGAGAGGTGTTTCTAATTTCTGAGCTAATTCAAAGCAACATCAGTGGTTAAAGTGCATTAACCCTGCTGCTAATATTAAAGCCCACCGTACTTCACACACATACTTCAAGAGCAGAAAAAACCAATTGGGCACTGGTGTCATGTTGCAGACAGGAAACAGATGGCCTGCTGGGAAGAGTAGCAAAAAAAAAAAAAAAAATCATGCCAACAAAAGCCAGAGAGAATAAATCGCTCTATACTTTTCCTCCCCACGTCCATCCAAGCATCCTCCCATCCTTCATCCTCAGCTGGAAGGAAAAGGAAGAGGAGGCTTGGCCGTGGTGGTGTGTGCAGTAGATCAGTGGGCTCTGGCTCCGGACCAGAGCGGTGGAGCCTTAAATAAAGCTCTGGTACGGCCATACTGTGCCGGACAAGGCCCAATATACTTTAGGTCTTGTATTCTGTACATTAGTTCCAGGTCGGGGAAGGATATTGGTTTAAGACCGTGTATTTGTACAGTAAAAATAAAGTACATACTGGGTCACATATAATTTTACATTTTGTGTATAGTTGTTCATTTTTAATTTAAAGCCACAGAAAGCATGTCATATGGTCAATTATAAGGTAATGGCAGCCTTTTTTTTCTCCTTTCTGTTAACAGTGATCCGGCTCACAGTGCTCTGACCTAACAGCACTGTGAAGAGGTTACACAGAATCCACTCACATCTGACGACACTCGACCGCTGCCTCAAAGTCCTTCAGACACATTCAACAGGTGACCTGGGAAATTTACCCCACTCTAAACCTCAGTGACCTCCGTCTGCTACACAGGACAGACCCTGAAGCTGCTGCTGCGTGTCTGATAACCTCTGACCCTGAGAAGGTCAATCAGGGGTCAATATAGTCCTAATCATCGAATGTTTACCTCAACCCTGTGCCCTCTGGTTTTATTTTCTCAAATCTTGGATCCTCATAGTGTTGAAGCACAAACAACGATAACGACGTCACACTGTAGGACCGACAGTAGCTTAAGGTTGAAGGTCACGTTCAAAGTCCTGTGTTTCCCTATAAGAAAATTAGAGTATTCAAATGTTGTCAAGAGGCTAAAGTTTAAACAAAGTAACATGCTCAAGTGCCTCCTGCTCTTTCTGAAATAAAACTAAAATTAAAATAGTTAAGCCAAACATATATTTGCATTTGACCATAAAAGACTTAAAGAGGACTTTAAATATACAATGCATATTTGGTAAAATTAACTGAAAGTTAGCATAAAAAGAGGACAAATGTTGGTCACAAAAGATTTTTAATACACCAACTGTCACTGCATCTGAATCCATTCTTTACTGCATAAACAGTAGCTTTATACTTTATACAAGATTATCACCTAATTAGACAGGACTTTAAACAACACCAGATGCAGTTAGTTTGAAAGTGAGTCATTTAATGTTTCATTTTAAGAAAAGCAAAGGCAGTAAAAAGAAAACCCCGGGCAGACACCATTAGGCCTGTGTGCTAATTCACCAAACCTAAAAATAAGAAGTGATAAAAACTACTGAGGCAGACAAACCACAACATGTGTTTACCCTGGAGTCCAAAAATCAAAACACATGTTCAGACACAACCCTGCCTCTGACGTCTCGTCTTTATTAACTTTTCACCCTTAAATGCAGCCTTTATTAGAAGCCTGAGTGTTTTGGCCTAATAAAAATCTTCAGATTTATATTAAGGAGTCAGCTCAGCCAAAAAAAATTAAACAAAGATCTAAAGGAGTGTGGCGTATTTCTTCCTCTGTTTTCCCTTCTTGATTGAGTTATGTCGTAAAATATTTGGCATGTTTTCTACGAGGCATTCCAACAAGTCCACTTTTAGATACTCCACATATGAACTATGTATTTGGATGACTAACTTTGTAAAAATCTAACATGTCAACGTCTTCAGACCTTTTTAGGGCAAAATTATTTTTCTCACCCTGACAATAAATCCTCCCTCAAAGCTAGATTTTCTGTCTTTATTAAACATCCAGAACATGAGTGAGAGCCAGCAGTGATCAATGACTGACTGCAGTTAAATGGAGGAGGAAACATTATTATTATTAGACTAGTGTGCTAAATATAGGGCTTGTACTGACTAGACTGAAATGTAGTCTTTTTTCAAGTTCCACTTTCAAATATTCCAAACTTTCAGGACCTTAACGGGTTTTTATTTCAGTTATTATAACAAACCATTTTACTGTACCACATGTTTGGCTAAGTTGTGGCTATCATTTAGCAAATTTATAGCCATATTTAAAATATTTTTTTAGAGATTTTTGAGCAACGTATTACTATTATTATTTACAACATGTTTAGGCTATTCTTAGATCAGCTTTAACGTTAGCTTTTTGCTATGTTTTGTTAGTTTCTGGATATTTTGCTGTTAAAAAAACAGCACACTAAAAAAAAAGAACTACAGTTACAAATTCTGAGCAATGTATGAAAAACAAATGTATTTTTTATACATTGAAAATCACAGTTTTTCATATATCCACATAACAACGTTTAAGGGTTTAAGGCATTTGGACTTTTCAACCTATTTGTGTTATTTCCAGGGCAACGATTCGTTTTTCTTTCAAATGAATCAATGTCTCCAGGGCAGGTAGTGACACCTACTCTCAGTGCCACATACCAGTTGACCCAGTTGGTAGGTAAAAGAGCAAACATACACACCTTCTGCTGAACACACACTCGTGGTATGCACCATAACAGCAGTCTTTCCCGTTCTCTTTCTCCTGCCTCGTAGTTTAATTAGCAGTCTTTCCCGTTCTCTTTCTCCTGCTTCGTAGTTTAATTAAATCAGACACTTTGTCCAAGGCCAGGTCAACACACACACACACACAATCTCAGAATAATCACTTACTCTAAAGAGTTGAACGCTGGCTGTGAGAGTTTGACTAAAAGGCTTGAATAAAGCCTATAATATCTGCTGTACTTTTCTGCTCGACTTCACTAAAACCCTTCCACTGCTGCATCACCAACACCACCGTGTCTCTTCACAGGTCGTTCAGTCGACATTTCAGATCCTCAGGTGTTAAGTTCTGTAAATCCTCCCCACATTTTAACCACGCACACCTCCCCATCCTTTTTCACATTTCGATGACCTTTTAAATCCACCAGGATCCTCTATGACTTACCCCCACACTCGCACGGGGAGATAAATAACAGCCCACAGATGAGGCTTCCCAACCACCCCCCCATCTGCCCCTAGTCCAGGCAATAACACGGCCATGATAGGAGCAATAAAACACTGCTCCTCCAGGAGAGGCTGCTCTGTTAAAACTTCTATCTAGATTTAAAGAACTGGCCCAAAAGGGAAAGAAAGTTACTGGGTTCTTGTGAATACACTGTAAAAGAGAGGCCATGTGTATCATTTGGCAGTGCAGCTCCGCTCTGTAAAGTCCACAATAAAGGAAAAAATATGTTGATGTACCTGTGGTTAAAGAAGAGTACGGAGGAACTCGGTGTGACCAATAAATCACACAGTAGGTCAACAGCATGGAGCTGCTGTTTCTCTGGTTCATTATTGATTATTATGGGATATTAGTGTGCAGGTGTCTGTGTCTGTTATAAACACAGGAGGGACAAACCTACCATGAAGCTCAAAAGCAATTTTTGTTTTTTTTTAAAGATTGACAGATGGTAGCAACTATGTTTCACTGGCTTTTCAATAAACAATTTCTACCAGAACTCAATTAACAAATGCATTTTCCGTAGCTTTCCTTCAGTCGACAGGCTCCGTGTTTACAAAAAAAAAAGACTCTAATTTCAATATGACCAGAAAGGACAAATACCAAGGTTTGGAGAAAGAATCAGATGAGGGAGAACAACCTCCTACTCCCCCTTCAAGCAGCTGCACACTGAGGTTAAAGAATGCCAGGAAGTTCTTTGGTGGGGGGTGAATCACATCTGTTTTAGGCATCAGGAGACACCCCTTACTTTGTTACTACAAAATGATACCTATTAATGATGAGTTATCCAGGAAGGTAAGAGAGAAAGGACAGAGTGAAGGAAGGAAGGAAGGAAGAAAGGAAGGAAGGACGGGAGCCCCCTGGGAGAAACCATTAGGAACGCATGCTGCACTTCCAAATCAGCCTGAAAAATAAAAATCAAATCTACAGCAGGAAAGAAGAATTGGAGGGGTGCGTGGGTGGGGGTCAGGGGGCTTGGAAAACAACTGAATTTCCTTGTACGTAGATTCAGGCCAGAGCTCAGTGGAGTGCCAGGTTCCACTCAGACTAAGACAAAGTAAATAAAAGCACTTCATGAAAAAGGAAGAGAGTGACTGGTGGTGGCTCGGCAGCAGCTATGTACATGAAGATAAAGGCCGGGAGCACCAGCGGCTCCGTCTTTGTGTTTTCATAGCCGAGCAGAAACCCTTATCTGATGGCCACGCACAGGTTTACACAGAGTACCTCAGACAAGGAGTGTCACAAACAAAACGGAAATCGGAAACGAAAACTAGCCTTTATTTTTACACGCACTCGTCGCTGCTGATGTGGAATCATAAACACCAGCCGGTTAATGTCCGCTTAATCCAAAACTCTGCTGTAGCCAACTGTGTTTCTAGCCGCTCATGCGCTCTCCCTCTCTTCTCGTAACCAAAACCACACACTAATTCATAAATTACAAACAAAGAGTCCCTTGTGGTTTGGGAGGGACCGGGGCCCGGCACTGAAACTGGCTCTACAAGGGAACAGCCAGGCGTCAATTAGACAGAGAGGTGGGGACAGACCTGGGAGGTGTGGATGCTCGAAAACAAGACATTTACAGTCTCACAACTGTACCTGGGTTTTCACAGCGGACGCACAGAGACACAGCACTCTTGTCCAATCCCTGTTTAGAAATCAACGGAGGAGGGAGTGACTGCAGCCTTGTGTGGTGGTGTGACCAGCTCACTGGGTTTTCTTGGTTCTGTTTACAAGGGCTGACGTGTGTTTGTGTACCGGCACAAGTCAAGATTGTGGTGCAGCTTAGTGTTGACGGAAGGCAAAAATATCAGTAAGAGTAAGGTCTGGGTTGGACAAGGAGAAAAACTCTGGTCTGGAAAAATGGACCGACTGGAACTACTAACTAAACTTTTCCTGTCACTTAAAACTTGAAGTGAATCACACTTAAAGTACTACAACAAGTACCACTGTATTCTTACATGACGCGCCTGACTGACTATAAGGGTTTAACGTCTCGTGTCCTGGACGTCTTCATCTTGCGTGAAAGTTGAACAGGTGGTAATTTAAGAGTCCTCGTCTCTTATCACTGAAGTAGAACCGAACTGGCAACTGCGCAAAAGAGTCTGGTCTCTGACCTGCCATCCAGGAATGGTCACTCACTGGACTGCTGAAATTTGTCTGTTTCTTCCTCACCTGTATCAAATACATAGCAGCAGATACAGAGCGTAAGAAGGTGGAGGTAAAAGGTTAAGTCTCAGACGCCACCGTTTGAACCAAACTACATAGTTATGTCAGATCTTGAGGGAAAGATGATTTCAAAGCGTCCCACGTGCAGCTTCCTGAGGAAGGTCAGGTTAGAGGAACATCTTCAAGGCTTCCTGTCTATAATGACGTCTGCTTGAATGAAGGCTGTCGACCAAAGCAGACCCTGAGACAGATCGGTTTTGAAAGATAACAACGACGGCTGCCTTGATTCTCCTGCACATACAGGGAATTCCCTGGCATGAAGTAGAAGCCAGTGGATCCTTGAATGACACACATGAAATCAGGAGTTTCCAGAAGTGTTTCAGCCTCTTGTTCATGATTTTTTACTTCATCACTTGGCAATTGTTTGGAGCAACATTCAACTTAAGAGTACAGTTTTTGACTGCAGTGTACAAGAAGAAGAAAACTCTGTCCAGGTAGTGTAGCAAGAGCTTCATTAAAAAACAAAAACACACCCAGTAGCAGATTCATGACAAACTTGTTATCACCACAGTTTCTATTTAAAAGCTCCGCCGTTGACAGGGTGTTCGTCAGGTACTGCTGAGGTGTTTTTATGTGATCTCATCCTCTCCACACGTGACCCTCCACAGTTCCCTGTCAGAGTCTAATCCACTCTGTCATCCTGGCAAATCTCGCTGCGAGCTCCTGAACACTTGTTTCCTCATGTTTCACAGAAATTCCACCACACGCACACGAGCTTTCACTCCAGTTTCAGAATTCATCCGATCACACATCCTCAGCCACCAACAGTTTAAATGGCAAACAGCATTCCTGACGAGGTGAGGTATTTCAATTTCAGTCTTTGAAACAGTTACAGCACGCCGAAGCTGGCGTTTTTAAAAATGTTCCAGAGGAGTTAAAGGATGGAGGTTCGACTCCGACAAATAAAAACTGCCAGACGTCAGACAGACAGACGGAACACAAGGTGACACTTACACACTCATCGCTGAATGGAAAACCCTCCTGTAACTTTCTCCTTGAAGTGAGCGGCTGTGAGTGCGGCTGTGACTCCCACCTCCTCCCCCTTCTCCCAGGTCCCGACAGAAGAGCTTTAAAGAACTAGGACCAGCTCTGCAGTGAAAACAAGCGCTCACTCACATGAAAACTCTGGCCGTGGGTCCGACGAGAATGAGTGAGAGAGAGAGTGAGTGAGTGAGTGAGGACGGCCCAAAAAAGGGAAAAAAGAAAGGAAGAGGGAGGGGAAAAAATACCCCCCTCTTTAAGAAAGGTAGTTATGATCCTTTATGGTGACTCCCACTTTTTTCTTGCACTGAGCAGGAGACCATCCAATGTCTTCTTCCTCCTCTTGGGGAGAGAAAGTTGAAGCCGGCTTTAGACGACTGGAATGTGACAAGAGGAGAGAGAGGGAGAGACAGCGAGAGACAGAGAGAGAGACAGAGAGAGACAGAGAGGGAGGGGGAGTTTCTGTCTGTGTATGTCTATGAGCGGGTAAGAGACAGAAAAAGAAAAAAAAAACCCAGAAGAGCAGCGTCCACCTCCTCAACCTACTGCTGTGTGAGTGTGTAGTCAAAGAGAGAAGGGAGACGCAGAAGAGGAGGAGGAGGAGGAAGAGGAGGAGGAGGTGGGGGCTGGTGCTGTATGCATGAGTGAGTGTGGGAGATGGAGAAACAGAGAGACAGAGAAACAGAGAGAGAGAGAGAGAGAGGGGAAAAAGTTAATGTGCAGCTTGAGGAAATTTAACTACAAATTTCACTCAAGCGTTTGTGTGTGTGTGTGTGTATGACATCCAGGACACGCAGCTCCAGGCGTGTGGGAGACGTGAGACTAAAGACACAACTGTACAAACACAGTCCGTTAAATGATTAGGAGCGGCGCTTTGGGGGAAAACACACACAATTCTAACTTTTCTCTGCCATGTGATATCGAGATATAAAGTTACAGCAGCTCCAGTGAAAGAGCTCACGCCTCCACAGCAGCAAACGCACAGGTTTAATCCATTCATACATTTATTTAATCCCTCGTGGGACATGTTCACGGGGGTCGGGATCTTTTATCGAGACGACTATGATTCAATGATGTGAAAGTACCGCAGGGCTCTGAACACGTCCTGTGATATTTAAGACTCGACCAGCGACACACAAGTTCACAGTCAGTGCTCGTCGTAGACAGATTTTACAAACCATTATGTTTTTAAAACTGTTCTCCTCAAAACAAAACTGTTATCACTGTCCTGGTCCAAGTCCAGTCCAGACGACTTGGACTCCGACGTCTCTCATCGGTTCTACAGTACTGGCTGTGTGTGCGCTAAGGAGACATTTTGGTTTCTACATTTATAAACAAAGTCCAAAGAAGGAGAAGAGATTGTGTGTGTGTGTGTGTGTGTGTGTGTGTTTTTGAGGGACACACACACATTATGTAATTCCACTGTTACCCATAATACTCTGCAATGATTTATAGACCTGAAGGGACATTTAAATTTATACTGCAACTACACTATAGGATGAATTGGGAAGTTAGTTTTTATTTCTTCTTTTTTTTTGCTTTCTACCCTCACACACACACACACACACAAATCCTCATTTTCTCCCCTTCCGAGTCCACCACAGGAGGGTAACTGAAACCAGCCACAGACTGGAAAGCATTAGTACCAACCACTTCTCCCCTCTCTAATACACCCCCCCCCACACACACACACGATTGGACACACTCTGTGGACAAATGAACGACAGATCACACACTAAGACACAGAGCAGAGTCAATTTGTTATTTACTGTGAACACGACGTGTCACAAAACCAGGAGTGTGTGTGTGTGAGTGTGAATGTGTGTGTGTTTGTACAGTTTATGAGTTTTGTAAGCCGACAAAGTTGGCAGACCCTTCTTCTCCACACTGCTCTGCTGACTTTGCATTTTCCAGCTCTAAACAAAAGAAGCCGTTGCTCGAATTGGATTAAAAAAAAAAAAAAAGTCCAAGAAAACCACAGGACAGAGAAAGAGAGAGAGAGAGAGAAAGAGAGAGAGAGAGAGACGTGTGTGTGTGTGCATTTGTTTCTGTCCCTGTGTGGTTTCCTGTGTGTGTGTGTGTGTGTACATTTAGGGATTTGTGTTCAAACATATGACTGCATGACGAATGGATTCACTGAAGTTTCTTTCCATTATTCCCAGTTTTCTATCGCAGACAAAGAGCCCGGAGCCAAGATCTAGAACATTCCCCGGCCCCTGAAAACACTCCGTACGACGGAGGCTGGACTGAATATACTGAGAGTGCAAAGAATCACCATCACACACACACACACACTCATTTAGATTAACGCTGGTGTGTGTTAAAACTGAGCCCTGAAACACGCGGCATCAAACAGGTGTGGACGATCGACAAGTGAGACAAACAGGATGGAAGACGGTGTCATGAGACGCCATCACACAGGAATAAAAACAACAGGGAAGAAAACAATGCGTCCATTCACTCCAACTGACTCCAGGAGTCAACCTCACTGATGAACACAGCACGCAACGGCCACCAATCAACAAATCAGCTCCTATGGTTTATCTCTGTTTTCATGAGTAGGTCATTGGATCATCAGCCTCAAAGGTTAAAGAGAGTTAATCACAATCAGTGTTCAGTCAGACTGTTCTCCACCCAATCAACCTGGGTTATCACAGGAAGACCTTTGAAGGGATGGTCATGTGACTGAATCTTTGAAGGAGAGGAATCACAAAAAAAAAACAAAAAAAAAAACAAGGACTGTGACCAGGATTTGGTCATCTGGAGGCTGAAACACTACAGGGGGAAGAAAGTTAAAACAAACTGAAATGTTCAACGCTAAATTCACACCAGAAAACACACACTCTTCATTGGTTTCACTGAGTTTCGACATCATCCTGAGCCACCAGCAAAGCACAGTGATGTTGAATATAATGTCCTGATGAGACGAGAACACACATGTAATGCCAAACTCAGTACCTTTTATGGACACTGGCCAAACCACATAGAAGCACTTTTAATGCAACGCGCTGACACGCGCAGGTCAGCCCAGGTCACGTGGAGCGTGTTTTCTCGCAGCAGCGTTCCTGAGAGTGCCAGCTGCGCCTGTTGTTGCAGGGTTTCTGCAGAGTCAGGCTTGTGTTACGAGGCAGGGGCCGTTGGAATCTCTCTGGGCTTCAGCGTACGACTGGAAAAGGCTTTTAAAAAAAACATACATTTTTTTTCCTACCCTATAAAAATACCTGTTTGATGATGTCCAGCTAGAAACTGTTAAAAGTTGTAATAAGAGCCAACAACCAGACGTAAGTACTCCAGTAGCTGTAGTGTGTAAACGCACTCACTTAACCTTCCATCTGCCAGGTGATAAAAGAACACCTCAGTCTGAGCATCGCCTGCAGG